TCCCGAAGGAATCCCTGGTTTATGGTCTTTCTCATCGTCACCAGCACTTTCACTAGGTCACCAGCTCTTTCACTGAAGTCATCAGCCCTTTCACTGAAGTCATCAGATGTGACTCTGATCAACGGTATAGTTGTGGACACAACAAGAAAATTGAGAATAATCTTGTGCGAGGGTAGGGACCCAGATGTCGTTTCTAACCCGAATAAACTTTAAGGAGGCTTCTCATCAGTAGCCGCACCTCCTTACTCGGTTTCTGAACTGGAATTCTATGGGCTTCCAGACGGCCAGACCGAGTATTACCATCCCATCCTTCTAGAGTTCATCACAAGTAGCACCCACCTTGAAGATCTTTGACACCCAGACACACCCCATTGGCGAACAAACTTTGGATATAATCTTACATGCTCCCGAAGGAATCCCTGGTTTATGGTCTTTCTCATCGTCACCAGCACTTTCACTAGGTCACCAGCTCTTTCACTGAAGTCATCAGCCCTTTCACTGAAGTCATCAGATGTGACTCTGATCAACGGTATAGTTGTGGACACAACAAGAAAATTGAGAATAATCTTGTGTGAGGGTAGGGACCCAGATGTCGTTTCTAACCCGAATAAACTTTAAGGAGGCTTCTCATCAGTAGCCGCACCTCCTTACTCGGTTTCTGAACTGGAATTCTATGGGCTTCCAGACGGCCAGACCGAGTATTACCATCCCATCCTTCTAGAGTTCATCACAAGTAGCACCCACCTTGAAGATCTTTGACACCCAGACACACCCCATTGGCGAACAAACTTTGGATATAATCTTACATGCTCCCGAAGGAATCCCTGGTTTATGGTCTTTCTCATCGTCACCAGCACTTTCACTAGGTCACCAGCTCTTTCACTGAAGTCATCAGCCCTTTCACTGAAGTCATCAGATGTGACTCTGATCAACGGTATAGTTGTGGACACAACAAGAAAATTGAGAATAATCTTGTGCGAGGGTAGGGACCCAGATGTCGTTTCTAACCCGAATAAACTTTAAGGAGGCTTCTCATCAGTAGCCGCACCTCCTTACTCGGTTTCTGAACTGGAATTCTATGGGCTTCCAGACGGCCAGACCGAGTATTACCATCCCATCCTTCTAGAGTTCATCACAAGTAGCACCCACCTTGAAGATCTTTGACACCCAGACACACCCCATTGGCGAACAAACTTTGGATATAATCTTACATGCTCCCGAAGGAATCCCTGGTTTATGGTCTTTCTCATCGTCACCAGCACTTTCACTAGGTCACCAGCTCTTTCACTGAAGTCATCAGCCCTTTCACTGAAGTCATCAGATGTGACTCTGATCAACGGTATAGTTGTGGACACAACAAGAAAATTGAGAATAATCTTGTGCGAGGGTAGGGACCCAGATGTCGTTTCTAACCCGAATAAACTTTAAGGAGGCTTCTCATCAGTAGCCGCACCTCCTTACTCGGTTTCTGAACTGGAATTCTATGGGCTTCCAGACGGCCAGACCGAGTATTACCATCCCATCCTTCTAGAGTTCATCACAAGTAGCACCCACCTTGAAGATCTTTGACACCCAGACACACCCCATTGGCGAACAAACTTTGGATATAATCTTACATGCTCCCGAAGGAATCCCTGGTTTATGGTCTTTCTCATCGTCACCAGCACTTTCACTAGGTCACCAGCTCTTTCACTGAAGTCATCAGCCCTTTCACTGAAGTCATCAGATGTGACTCTGATCAACGGTATAGTTGTGGACACAACAAGAAAATTGAGAATAATCTTGTGCGAGGGTAGGGACCCAGATGTCGTTTCTAACCCAAATAAACTTTAAGGAGGCTTCTCATCAGTAGCCGCACCTCCTTACTCGGTTTCTGAACTGGAATTCTATGGGCTTCCAGACGGCCAGACCGAGTATTACCATCCCATCCTTCTAGAGTTCATCACAAGTAGCACCCACCTTGAAGATCTTTGACACCCAGACACACCCCATTGGCGAACAAACTTTGGATATAATCTTACATGCTCCCGAAGGAATCCCTGGTTTATGGTCTTTCTCATCGTCACCAGCACTTTCACTAGGTCACCAGCTCTTTCACTGAAGTCATCAGCCCTTTCACTGAAGTCATCAGATGTGACTCTGATCAACGGTATAGTTGTGGACACAACAAGAAAATTGAGAATAATCTTGTGCGAGGGTAGGGACCCAGATGTCGTTTCTAACCCGAATAAACTTTAAGGAGGCTTCTCATCAGTAGCCGCACCTCCTTACTCGGTTTCTGAACTGGAATTCTATGGGCTTCCAGACGGCCAGACCGAGTATTACCATCCCATCCTTCTAGAGTTCATCACAAGTAGCACCCACCTTGAAGATCTTTGACACCCAGACACACCCCATTGGCGAACAAACTTTGGATATAATCTTACATGCTCCCGAAGGAATCCCTGGTTTATGGTCTTTCTCATCGTCACCAGCACTTTCACTAGGTCACCAGCTCTTTCACTGAAGTCATCAGCCCTTTCACTGAAGTCATCAGATGTGACTCTGATCAACGGTATAGTTGTGGACACAACAAGAAAATTGAGAATAATCTTGTGCGAGGGTAGGGACCCAGATGTCGTTATTCTCTCTTCGATTGTTGACAGATCTCGAAATAGTGGGTTAAACTCAATGTACAGTTGAGTGTCATCTACGTACATATGGATGTTAAATCCATGTCTCTTTGCAATCTGATTGAGCTCCTTTGTGTAAAGTATAAACAGAATTGGACCTAGAATTGAACCTTGCGGGACTCCAATTCTAAGGAAGCATCTCTTTGATCTTGATTTATCAATAGTTACTGTGAAGGATCTGTTATTAAGGTATGATGGAAACCATTCGAGAACAGTACCTTCAAAACCAAAGTCCTTTTTTAGTTTTTTTAGGAGCAAGTGATGATTTACAGTATCAAAAGCAGCACTGAGGTCCAAAAGGAGGAGGATAACCTTGCTTTTCATGTCACTGATACAAAGAAGATCATTGTAGATGGTAAGGGTTGCAGTTTCGCAGCTATGATTTGACCTATAACCACTTTGATGCTCAGCATGAAGATTGTGATAGTCAAGATGTTTGGTCATCTGTTTCTGGACACTCTTTTCAATGAGTTTCGAGAGGAAAGGTAAGTTACTAATCGGTCTATAGTTGTTGAAGCTATTGACATCTCCTTTATCATCTTTGATGGCTGGTCTGACAAGAGCACTCTTTAGGACTGACGGAAATTTTCCAGTGACAAGTGAGTCATTGATAATAAATGACACAATTGGTATAACTTCATTAAAACACTGCATTAGAAGTTTTAGAGGGATGGGGTCCTCTTCACATTCTTTTTTGTTAAGGCCAGAAAGAATCTTTTTGAGATCATTGTCGCTTATGGTTTCAAATTGGCTCCAGGCTTCACCTTGAAATGGTTCTGAGTGGTCAAGTAGAGTGTCAGCTGCAGTATCATTGTTAATGGCAGAGTAAATCTTTTCCACTTTATCATTGAAAAACTCTTTCATCTCCTCACATAGAGTTTTAGCAGGTTTGTTATTAGGCTTCAAGTTTTTAGATATGTCCCGATCCATTAGCTGATTGACTATTTTGTAGGTATCTTTTTTATTGTCCTCACAGCTTTGCAGACGATTTTCATAGTATAGCTGTCTAGTGGTGTTTATAACTGCCTCAGCATGCTTAACAGCTTTTTTATAGTCCAATTTTGAATCTGCAGTTTGTAGTCTCCTGTTATCACGTTCAGCTTTTCTTCGTTTCCTTCTGGCATTATCGGATGTCTACGTATATTTATTATGATATAATTATTCATTGTAATGGCAATAAAATTTAAATTTTGTTTTACTTACTGTACTATAATTTATATTGTTAGTTTTGGGTGCAAACTTTTCTTTTTTTCTACTGATAGTTGGATAATATCCGGTTTGAAGAGACAAGGACACATGAAACAGGAAGTTAGGAATGTAGGCAAATTTTCGGCATCAGCCATCTTCAGGCTCAAATTATTTGTTATATAGTAGTGTTGAAAGTATCTCTTCCAACCAGATATTGTCCAACTATCAGTATTTCAACTATGAGACTAATAAACAGCGAACTAATAAATAATAATAATAAAATTTGGTAGCTTAAACACAAACTCTAAGCCCAGTGGATACTGGATAAACCACAAAACTTATGCTCTATTGTGTGAAACAACAAAGATACTAGATCAAGATAACTATCCAGGAGTGTATGCATAGGACATAAAAAGTTTTGGAACGAAGATGACATGCTTATGAAGCGAGCTAACAGTCTAATTGCTAATAAGTTCAAAAAGATCATGACATTAGGTTGCATCCTAAACAGTTTAAGCAAATAACATAAAGTTATATTGTCAATTAATCGCTCAAGCCATAACTTTTCTTAAACAATTGAGTTTTTAATAATGTTTTGAACAGATCAACATCAGAACAAGTCTTAATTTCAATTGGTAGTTGGTTCCAGATTTTCGGAGCAACAGTCTGAAACGCTCTTGGGTGCGATCTTGTAGATCCGACAGGTAGGTGTAAGGAGGAAGTTCTTCTGCTACTCGAACTGACAAATGTTACTAGATCACACAGATATGCAGGAGCAACACCATTGACTGCTTTGAAAATCAGTAAACTACTCCATCATTTGATTTTTTTCTAGTTTCAGATTTATCATTTTACTAAAATATTAATTGTAGCCTGTAATAATCTAATTTTTATCATTATCATCATCATTTTGAACGCCTGTTTTCTGAACAGTTTCTTGTTTCACCTCCGTCTAAGGCAAAGATGCACACTCTCGTTAACTTAAGTATCATTTACAGCTGAGCATAAGGGTTAAATTTAAATTATTTAACCTTTTGGTGCTGTATAAAAATAACATTAATTTATTATTATTATTATTATCATCAACTACCATATATATGGTATATACAGCAATATACCGAGGTTTCAATTTACTTAGATAACTGTACATAGGGTGGCTGAACACGTGTAAATTCGTGATGCCATGTAAGGAGTTGTCTCCTTTCTGTGGAGTATGAACACAGACAAGGGCTGTGGAGGTGTTCCCAAGGGAGTTGGAGAAAGATGGCCTTTTGAGATGGAGATATCTGGTGAGGATGATACTGGGGATGAGGAGTACTATTTTGTGAAGAATCACGAGTTATTCAGTGGAGTTTCAGACTATTTCAACAGTGATAAACTGAGCGATATCACACTCATCGTTGGAAACCAGAGGTATGTGAACATAAGTTTGATTGTAAAAAGTCAAATGTTTGACTTCATTCATTAATTGAATTATAATTACTTTACTTATTTATTAATTGGTTAAGATTCTCACAACATCTGTTATCTTTATCAGTTTCTCCGCCCACAAGTTTTTATTGTCCTGCGTCAGTCCCGTCTTCAAACAAATGTTAGATAACACAAGCAACTGGGAAGAGAGCAAAGAATCGACCATTGTCCTGAATGTGAGTAATCTCCACCTCTTATCTGGATTTATCTTTCTTAGCAGTTTGTCTACTGAAGGCAGTTAATGAATTTATAAAAGCACTAGATGAGTCTAATCCAGTTGATAAGTAGTTAAAATAACTGGAACGGTTTCCTTTTTTCAGGAGTTACCCGACTGTGTGGACTCGTTTGAGCTTTTCCTTCAGTTCATCTACAGCAGACGAGTATCAATGAACTCGAACACTGTAAAACCACTGTTTCTCCTCGCTGACAAATACGCCATCTCCAGTCTTCAGGAGCTCTGCTCTAACTATTTTAAACGTCATTTGTCGGCTGGAACTGTGCTTGATGTCATCTCCTTCGCTCATAAACTTCACAATCAGGATCTCTCTGATAGGTGATGAATTTATTGTCCTCTGAATTTCTAAGTGTTTGATTAATGTTGAGTATTATAAAACGCGAAGTAACCTTGATTTTTACAATTTCATTGTTAAAATTGTTTTGGCCGTTGAGCAAAACGTTCCAGAAGTTATTTTGCCTTTAACCACAATGTTCGCCGCCTATTTGCTGCATATTTTCTGCATATTTGACTTGGCAGTCGACAAGCTCGTTTAATACCGTATATTGTTACATCTGTAACATTGTGAGAATAACACTAATTTTTAAGGTGTCTGAAATACATAGCAGAAAATGCAGAGGAAGTTATGTACACAGCTGGATGGATAGATTTAGACCAGAGTATTCTTATTCTTATCGTGCAGAGAGACGATCTACAGGTGACTGGCTTTTTTTGTTAAATCTTTATTCTCCAACTTTTATACATTGTTACACAATAGATTGTTATCATCATAATATTTAAATGACATTTTGGACTGACTAGAAAGTGCTGTACATGATTTATCACAGAAAATAAACTTAATTAATAAACTGAATCCCTTGAGTGATAAACCTACTCTTTGATTTAGTAGAAAGGTTGTGATTATTCTGTGGGTGTGCTGAATTCTATTGAGAAAACCTTGAGCGATATTCTTATATTCTAAAATCTAACATCAATATATTGTACATTGCTGTCCTTGTAATTGTAAAAGTGTTTCTCAACTAACACTCAAACAGATTTGGCACAGTCTTGATAATGGCCGAAACTACATATCCGAGGATCATACAAAAACAAAACAAAGCTCATTTTTCTTTCAGCTGTGGAATGAGATAGAACTATTCAGTGCAGTGCTGCGCTGGGTGCTAGCTGATCCTAAACGGGACGCACTGGTCCCGCAGATATTCCACTTGTTGCGCTTTCCTCTTATCTGCTTCGAGCTGCTCACACACCTAGTGGAACCTAATGATATCTTCCAGAGGTGCCCTGAAATTCAGGTATGATATTCTGAGGATACATTGTCACATAATTGTTCAAATTTTTCGATGTTCGAAAATTTCAATATTGTTGATATATACGTATAAAAGTTGAAAACTCTGCGTCTGATTCAAATATTATATTATGATTCAGCCACTTAGTCAACACCCACAACAAGTTCACTAAAAAATACTTGCTCATCGGATAACGTTTTGACTGCCTTACGTCATTTGTCTGCAGCATTCATTGTGATGAAAGTCTTTGTTCCCCAATTTACTTACACTCTCACAAAAAGCGTGGATTTTGTGTCATGCCCGGTGATTGTTCTTTTCTACACATGTGTGGGCTAAGCAAGATAATGAAAGCACAAGATGTTACACAGTATTTTATGAGCTGTCAATTATTGTGAATTGACTCATAACCTTAGATATCCTATATTTCTATTATAATTAATTAACGGGTAACTCGGTAATCTGCCGATGCACATTGCACACCTCGGGCACAAAGGTGATTTCTGCCCGAGATGTGCCCGAGATGTGTCCCAGGTGTGCCCGAGTTTGTGCCCGAGTTGTGCCCGAGGTGTGCCCCAGATGTGCATCGGCAGATTACCGAATTGCCAATTAACGGGTATGGCAATTGGCATTGTTGATGGATAACTTTAAAAGTCATATTGAATGTTGATATTAATAAATATCCGAGTGGGCTTTTTTTCATATAATATGTAGTCTTTTGACTGTCAAAGCTGGCGTACAATCTGTTCAATTATCGTAATTATCGCTCTTAATCAATTTCTGCCTAATGTTAAATAGCTGATTAGCACACTCAAAATTTAATAGGTATAGTGAAATAAATGAGATATTGTTTTAATGGCATGCTAATTTATGCGGTATGTAGTATGTGACATTGTAGACATAATCTATAAATCAATGTCTCATTTCTCAATGAACAGTTGAAATACCTATCTAAATTCTACTTTAAATATTATATAGTCTACAATATTCCTCAAATCATCAATATTCTGCCATTAAAAATTCAAGACGATGAACATTTTACGTTTTTGACACTGAGAATATTTGTTCTAATTTGATTAAAATTCCCGAGCTTTCACACTTGTGTGAAAGCTCGGGAATTTTAATCAAATTTTAATCAAATCAAATTTTAATCGAATCAAATCAAATTTTAATCAAATTTTTTGCTTGTAAGCAATAAATTGTAAGAATTCTGTGATACAATATACATACCAATATCTATTGTCTAGATAATTTGTCTCTATAATTTGGAAATCTTGTCTCGACAAACAGATAAAAAATGTTGGCCAATTGATTCAACAATCTTGTCTAGACTTTGTCTCAATAGATTGTCTCAAATAACGTTGAACCCTGTGGTTATAAGTCGCTTTAAATCAGATAGCTTCAGCCGAATCTTTAAATTCTGAGTTCTTTTTCAGCTATAAAACAATAAGTAAAATATATATACTATACGGTAGCTATAATCATCATTATTATCACATTTAAATATTAATAACAACCTGACATATCCACATTCCACAGTACCTGTTAACCGAAGCTTACAAGTATCAGCTGCTACCAGAGGAGCAGAGAGAGAAGTATTTCGCTAATAACATCAGATGTAGACCACGCCAGTATAACTTTGTGGAGCTCGGCAGATACGCTTACTGTGTTAAAAACTACTCAAAAATTAAAAACCTTACGTGAGTCAAAACTACAATTTTTTTAAATTCTGTGACTGTAAAGCACAATAAGCTTGTTGTTAGTTTTTTATGCTATTCGAATTTTAACTTGACTTCGTAAAGTTTTAACTTCAAACTTGTCTTCGTAAATTTTTAAGTTGTCTTCGTAAATCTGATAATCAGTTTCAAAAATCTGAGGTTCACCAGTCACCACTCCAAACAGGATCTCTATCACTAAACTGTAACTCTTGTAACTCTTGTAACTCTTGTAACTCTTGTAACTCTTGTAACTCTTGTAACTCTTGTAACTCTTGTAACTCTTGTAACTCTTGTAACTCTTGTAACTCTTGTAACTCTTGTATCTCTTGTAACTCTTGTAACTCTTGTATCTCTTGTAACTCTTGTAACTCTTGTAACTCTTGTAACTCTTGTAACTCTTGTAACTCTTGTAACTTACTCTTGTAACTCTTGACTCTTGTAACTCTTGTAACTCTTGTAACTCTTGTAACTCTTGTAACTCTTGTAACTCTTGTAACTCTTGTAACTCTTGTAACTCTTGTAACTCTTGTATCTCTTGTAACTCTTGTAACTCTTGTATCTCTTGTAACTCTTGTAACTCTTGTAACTCTTGTAACTCTTGTAACTCTTGTAACTCTTGTAACTCTTGTATCTCTTGTAACTCTTGTAACTCTTGTAACTCTTGTAACTCTTGTAACTCTTGTATCTCTTGTAACTCTTGTAACTCTTGTATCTCTTGTAACACTCACTAAATCCCATCAGACGGTTAAAGACAGATACCTTCACAACACTGGCTTGTATGGGAGGACAGCCGGTACCAGCTCCACCGGTACGACCTGACGGCGCACAACCCGAGTACCCAAGATGGAGCTGGACCCTCTGGGTAGAGCCAAAAGTGGGTATTATTACAGCCCTTCTAGCGCAGGAGTAGTCAAAATACTGGTATTTTTACAAAGCGCGGCAGCTAGACCGGTTTCTGGTCATGATTATACCGATTAGAACATTACCCGCAAGAAATAATATCGCAACCTTTTTATAAGAAGTAACTTTTAAACCACATAACCTGAAACTAACACACTGTGTTACCAGGGAGATGCTGATATCGACACAGGCTGCAACCTCTCAGACGACGAAACCCACAAGTTCGGGATATTCCTCATGCCAGTTAACATTAAGAACACTGAAGCTGAGCAGCGGGAGATTGACTGCGTGTTTGTGGTGTTTGGACGCGACGCAGACGGACAGCCAATGGGGCACTCCGTGAGGGATAGCTACGTTTATATGAGTAATAATTGTATTGGATTCGGGGAACCGGATTTGTTTCAGAAGGACGATAATAATAGTCAGAGTTATATTCACAATGATGAGGTTAGTCACGTAGTCACGCTAGTTACGTGTGTTTTATAATTAAATGTGTTTTATAATGTATACATTACAGCTTTAGCTTCTTCTGGGGTTGAGTTTGGGCCCCCAAGTTTGCAATGAGACATGAGCTAAACATGATTATAACGATCATAGATTAAGATTGATGAAGACAGTTATCTTTTATTTCAGATTGATATATTGGTACTAATTGGTTACAGACCCAAGAGAGGCGAGAGGGAGACAGAAGTACATTCACCCCAAGTTAGTTCTAGTTCCAGATCCAGCAGTATGGCTCAGTAGGACTACACAATGAAGTACATTCACCCCAAGTTAGTTCTAGTTCCAGATCCAGCAGTATGGCTCAGTAGGACTACACAAACAACAAATCGAATGAGACGAATATGTGGATTTAATTAACACTTGTAAACAGTTAAATATAACATTTATAAACAGTTAATTATATAATTTATGTTACTTGTTCTGTTTCCATAAAAAGGTTGCTGTTTTGATGCTATGACCACAAATAAACAGCTTATATACATTACTTATACATTTGTACATTATAGATATGGATATTGGTAGGGAGGTGAGACATGTATCTTTGTATCAGCTTCCAGCATTGACCAATCAAATCACAGAATCACTGTCACGTGCCAAAACAACTATGTTCTACCTCCCCCTCCATAAATATAATCCACAATAATATTTAACTTAACATTATTTGGTCCTTGTTTGGCGTTTGCTCTTGATTTGTTATTTTTTTGTAGATCACAGAGCTCAGAGGTAAGGAATTGGAAAGGGAATTAAATTATTTTAAAATCGATTTTTTGAAAGAAAACGAATTAATTTAGTATTTATCTTTTCTGTCGATCGCAAAAATTAATTTGTGTGATTCGTGTTTTGTGATTTAGTGACTTTTGGAAATGATCATATTATTTGATCCAAATCTCGCTAATCACAAACATTCTTATTGTGCGGCGAAATCGATTGTATATTTACATTTAAAGTGCTATATTCATTTCCCTTTTTTGAAACATTTTCCATCAACTGCTGTTATCAACTCCACTGTGGGCCACCATGCTATAATAGAGGAAAAATTGAGTTCTTTTAAAAGTAATTAAGTAAGTTTTGTATTGCAGTAGAAAATCTTGGCTATTAGATGCAAAAAACCATAATTGAATTGATTAAACGGCTTTCGCGCAGCGCGTCTGCGATTTTACGAAATTTTTTGACTGCCAATTTTTTCACTTTTGGCAGTCAAAATTGGCATAACCCATCATTTTATTTCTAAAATTGGCTTAAAACACCGTATATTGACTCCTAATTAAGGTGAAAGTACTCTCTTTGCTTCAATTCAAGCAAAAAACCATGTAATCATATCATTTAAGCTGAATTTTTGGCACGCACTCAATTTTAGGCCTCATTTTTGACTAATTTTTGCCTAAATTTGGCAAAAATAAGTTTAGATGCCTCAGGTTGCCCCACTAATGCATGGTACCATCTGAAAGCTCAGACGATTCTCTAAACAATGGTATAAGAACTGTTCTGGGGTTTTTTGGGGCTTTTTCAGAAAAAAATTCCAAAGTTGAAAAAAGGCCCAAATTTGATGGAATTTAGACTTACCTTGCAGATTTGAAAAAAATTATTTTTTCTCAAACAAACCCCATTTTGAACATCTTTCTTGGCTCTCAATGTCGTGGCCTGGTGCCATGAGGTTATGGGGTACTAAAAAGTGGTCTGTTGTGGAAATATCATCAAAAAATGCTATTTTTCTGGAATTTTACTGGTATTTTCTGACAATTTCAGAAATTTCTGGCATTCGCGCCCAATTTTCTGGTTTCAATTTGACATAACTTTGGCTACGATCAATATTTTTTCATAATTCAAAAACTAAAATGATCAATAGCCTCAGGACTATCAATTTAAAAACATTCTAAACACATTCAACGATTATCTTTAGCAAAAACTCGAATTGGATGCCTCTAGACCTACATTTCAGCCATGAAAAATTTCTATGGAATGAGCCAAAAAAATTTTTCTGTGACTTATAAAGGACCAAAATTTGTTTAAAAATCAATATTCAACTGATTTGAAGTAAAAAATAATGTTTGAAATGATCTAAATTAATCACTGATGGTCTATTATAGCATGACCCCCTATTCTGGCCCACTGTGAACTCTTCGAACTTAGAATATTTCCATAATACACTGTGGATGTCAAGAGAACAAATAATTATCGAGCCAATACAGAATATGTTTAGGACCACATATTAGGAATTCTAGTTCCTATAAGTTGGGAATGAGGTAGTTGTCTGTTCCCAGATCGCCCTCTAAACCTACAAGGAAATATTTCCTGTAGATCCTTGGTATATAACTAACATTTGACAGAGCATAGTGTGGAGTCAGTTATGTGCCCATCCTTGGAGAATATGTTTAGGACTACATATATTTGGCTGTGGACCACAAAGATAACTAAACTTCGGTCAAACTTCATAGTGACACCAATTTTTAGGTTACAATTGGTTTGTAGCCGTTAATTTGTGTAGATTTATACTTATTTTTTCGAATATAGCTTCTCGGTTCATAAAAAGATCAATTCAATGTCATTATGATACATATATATTATATAATAATAAAGTCATCTCCCAACAGTGTAACTTATCGATCACTATTTGCGCACGGACCTAACTTCTGCGCTATTTGGATCCGAACTGGGGCGACATTTCTATATATACGTACAATTTTGAGAAGAAAACATCAACTGGAAACGTCTTCTGTGGGTATGGGTATGGGTATGGAGAGCACGTTTCCTTGATTTTTGTAGTGGATTTGTAGTGCTTTTCACCCCTGTAGTGCTTTTATGTTCCGGGGTAGGTGGGACATGTTTTAGTTTAAAAATGGGTTCTGCCTGTCCCAAACCATCATAAAAATCAAGTTTCGACCTCTCAACCCACTCGGGCCACTCCCAGGGGCCACGCCCATCCCAAAATGACCGAAATCCAGCTAAAATCCAGACTTTAAAATCTTTACCCCTGTAGTGCTTTTATGTTCCAGGGTAGGTGGGACATGTTTTAGTTTTAAAATGGGTTCTGCCTGTCCCAAACCATCATAAAAATCAAGTTTCGACCTCTCAACCCACTCGGGCCACTCCCAGGGGCCACGCCCATCCCAAAATGACCGAAATCTAGCTAAATCCAGACTTTAAAATCTTTACCCCTGTAGTGCTTTTATGTTCCGGGGTAGGTGATGGTTTGGGACAGGCAGAACCCATTTTAAAACTAAAGCATGTCCCACCTACCCCGGAACATAAAAGCACTATTCAGGGGTAAAGATTTTAAAGTCTGGATTTTAAGATTTCAGCTGGATTTCGGTAATTTTGGGATGGGCGTGGCCCCTGGGAGTGGCCTGAGTGGGTTGAGAGGTCGAAACTTGATTTTTATGATGGTTTGGGACAGGTAGAACTCATTTTTAAACTAAAACATGTCCCACCTACCCCGGAACATAAAAGCACTACAGGGGTCAAGATTTTAAAGTCTGGATTTTAGCTGGATTTCGGTAATTTTGGGATGGGCGTGGCCCTTGGGAGTGGCCTGAGTGGGTTGAGAGGTCGAAACTTGATTTTTATGATGGTTTGGGACAGGTAGAACCCATTTTAAAACTAAAGCATGTCCCACCTACCCCGGAACATAAAAGCACTACAGGGGTAAAGATTCTCGATTTGAATTTTACCAAGATTTCAGTAATTTTGGGATTGGTATGGCCTCTGGGAGTGGCTTGAGTGGTTCAAGAGCTTGGTCTTTGTGATGGTTAGGGATATGTACTACCTATTTAACCACCAAACATTTTTCAAATACTCAGCAACACAAATCCCCTCAGGGCCCAGGGGTAAAGATTCTCATTCTGGATTTTTAGGGATTTGTCACAGAATTCAAGCTATTTGGGATGGGCGGCCTGAGTGGGGTGGATGTGTTACTTAGATTTTCATATCTTATAAGTTTCTATAAAAGTATAAGTACGAGCAGTTCATTGAGACTTCTGACTTCTACTGTCGTAGATTCTACAATGATAAATATTTTAACGTACGTGCGGCGCGCAAAATCCACTACAAAATCCACTACAAAATTCAGGGAAACGTCTTCTGTGGGTATGGAACAGGAAAACGCGATAACCAAATAATATATAACTTTGCGCTAAATTTGAATTATAGGCGCGCGCCGCGCCATGCATGCATAATATATAATAATAAACATTAAAATAATACAAAGAATTGTATTGTGGGTATTAATTACCTTACTCGGGATTATTACGACGGGTTTATTAACGACCGGTTAAAATATGGTTCGGGAAAAATATGGCGAAATTGCTCAAAACCCACCACATTTTCCCGGTCGCCATTTTACCGGTGTCCAACCTTTCAATTTTAGATTCAAAAATTTTGTCTCAGATGTAAATTTCCTTATTAGAGATAAGCAGGTTCAGAAATTTTCGCATTGCCAAAACTTGTGAAACAAGTCGAATTATCAATAATTGTTGAAAGTAGACTTTAGCAAATTCGTTGTTTTGAATTAGCATTACATGTTTACGTGTATCAAATAACCATTATGACTCAATTTGTAGAAAATCTTCGAAAGAATGCATCGTTCACATTGTTTAGAATTATGAATAAATGACTGATAAAACTGATTCATGTTATTGACCGTTTTAGTTAATTCGAGTTTTAATTTAACTGTTACTTTTACTTTGAGTCCTATTTCATTATGTAGAGATAGTCAATACCTAAGAAATTAAAAATTGGCCTATTTAAATCAACTTTGACAATAAGGATATATGACAAGAATTGGGCAAAAAGGTGAATTTTTTGCAATTTTAGCCAATTGAAGTCGAAAAACCTACAACAAGTGTCCCAATAGTCTTCTTTAGTGAATATAAGACAACCATTAAAATATGAGCACCCATACCCCTTGGGAACCCTAAAAGCTGAGTCGGCGGGTTTATTAACGACCGGTGAAAATGTGGTTCGGGAAAAATATGGCGAAATTACCCTAAACCCGCCACTTTATCCCGGTCATAATAATCCCGAGTAAGGTAGTTAGAGGAAAAGTGGTCGATTTAAGGGTTCCGTCGGATTTAAATGTTCACAAGGATTTCTTAACGGAATATGCTAGTTAGGACCCCTACGAACATTATTGGACTTGTTGCCAATTTTGTATCTCACAGAAACACCACTTTTTACCACCTTTGTACCACCTTTCTGGTACGTTTGCCAAATATCTTTAGTTGTGAACGTCGTAAAAGGCTGAAAATTAACCTACAACGTTTATCTTATCAAGGAGTAAAACTTATGTATGAAACATTTGTACATTAGACAATCAGCTAATTGGATAATTAACAATCAGTTAATTACCAAAAAAAAGTGAATTTTTTTATTGGCTCAAAATGATTGAAATCGTTTGAAACACGGAGAAATGTAGTTTTTAGAAAAACCTGAACCTGAAATAGGTTAACCACACAATATTAGAGTTTCATAACTAATTACCATACAGCTTTATCAAATTCCACATAAAGAAACTGCACAAAAGGACCATTTAAGATCGAACCGATTGTACTTGCTGTACTATCATTTTATTGATTTCAATGATCAAAACCTCTGTACCGTCAATCTTGCCAATATAGACCGGGTATCTAAATGTACCGGACCTCTTCTTTGCCTCTAGAATTAGAGTTTAGACCCAGTTGTGCAAGAAATCCGATTTCTCACAGGGGGTTTCTTTTAACTGTGTACTTTTTGTCACTCTCGCAGGAGGCCCGGTATTATCGGGGGGGGGGGGGGGGGGATACCTCAAGTAACCCCATAATCCATATGTCATTGCCAGGATAGAGCTGGAGATAGCATTGAAAGGTTGCTAGAAATAACTGAATTAGAATAAACTGGTGGTAGCTGGGTGGTGCTAGCATGGATGTAGCAGAACGTAGCTACACGGGGTTTCATTGGAGTTGGTTATTTTAATGGCCAAAGAGTGCCGGAACTAAAGTTACTTAAGATTGCAGTTGAGGAGCAGTGCAAACATGTGGAGTCAGGGACACAGAGCTACAGTGCAGGAGTACTGCAAAAGAACAGTGCAATTAGTGATACAGTCTGCGGGCGACCGATTTCATTCTCGGAATCAATCTTAATTTTAGGACGTTTATTCAAATTAATATCATTATCTTTTATTTGGGAGCGAGAGACACTGTTGCTGTCTAATCTACCCATGATTATGGGTTTTGGTAAAATCACTGATTATGATCGTGAAATACTTTGACTGAATTTGTCAAACACAACCGACTGTATAGTATTTTACTGTATCAGGAGGTCAGAGTAATAGTTACAAAAGTCACGATCGAGGTACTGGGGTCTGCAATCTAAATATTCGGAAAAATCTTAGCTAATACCTTATCGGACCTTATTTGGACGGACATTACTTGAACGCTGGAGGCCCTAGCGTCCATCTTAATGTCCGTTCAAATAAAGTCCGTTCAATTAATGTCCGTCCAAGTTAAAGTCCGTTGAAATTTTTTCAAACATTTTTCCATTTCGAACTTTTTGTCCAGAATAAGACAACTTTGAGAACTTTATTGTGCCGTAAGTCAACGACAGAAAGGTTCTCCTTGGTCTGCCGGAGGCACAGAAAACTCTACTACTACTACTACTACTACTACTAGTATATGATGTTTTCAAGGGTCATTTGGCGGAAAAAAGTCAACGAAATTATGGCACTCAACAACATAGTTCATGAACTAGTCCCCGCCAACTTGACAAACTTGTTCCATGCCAGCCTCTAGATATTACGGTAAATCGTGTTGCCAAGGACATTGTCCGACGTTGTTATAGTTCATATTACTCGGGGGCGGTAATGAAACAGTGCTAGGAAAGCTCCACGTGATGTTAAGGTTGACCTTAAATTGTCTAAGATAAAACCACTTCACGCCGAATGGCTTGTAAAAGTTAACACTGAAATGCAGGACCGGGCTAGTTTGATTTTTAAAAAAAGGTTTCCATAAAGCTAGAAATCACTGATGCTTTAAGCATGGACTATTTCATGCACGAAAACCCATTTGATGAAGATGATATGTGATATTAGACACTGATCATGTACACATATTTTAACATTTTTACTGCTTAATGACTGCTTTTCTTACTTACTGTATAAAAAATGGATTTAAAAATCATTTGCTGAAATTTAAAAAACATCAAAAAATATTGAAAAAAATTCGGATTTTTGATGGTTTTGAATGCCTTCGAGCGTTCATATTAATATCCGTTCATAATTGTGTCCGTTCATGTAATGTCCGTCCAAATAAGGTCCGATAAGGTAATTGATTAATTGGGCATATAGATTAGGGGGGGGGGGATTAACTACCTACCCCAATTCAAGCACTCAGTAGCTAGCGTCAAAAAATTCTGTAGAATGAAACAGTTCTTTAAATAACAAGATTATAACGTTAGAATACAGACAAATTAAATGAAACATCATCACAAATAAACATTATAACAATTACAACAATCACGATTAAAAGAGTATCAAAAAATCAAGTTTTGGTAAAATAAACAATTATTTTTTCAAAGATTGCAAATGAACGCAAATAGTTATATTCACACGATATCCACCGATAAGCTTTTATTTAAGACGAAAAGTCTCCAAGTTTAGTTGTAAATTTTTAATTTAGAATTTTAGCTTGATTTCAATTGTAAAATGCAAAACATTAATGAGGAAAGTATCAAGAACCTTCCCAATTTATCCATTTCAATCAATAATCATTTAGAAAAATTCTTAACTTGAAGCTTTTAAGAAGATCTTCAATATTACATTTTTATCATTCGTGATCCCAAAAGGTATATCACTTACAGTTACACAAACATGCGGCTCTCTTCTTCAAAATGTAGCAAAACAAGTTAGGAGAATCACTAAATATTTCATGTTTTTGAAGATTCGGAAGAATTGTCATTTGTCACGTAAAACCTCGGAGGTTCCGAACCTCTAGAACTTCTAGTAGCTAAAAATGGTAATCACACTAGATTTTAAATGTTTCTAGTTAGACCATTTCTTACATAAAACACGTGTTCGTACATGAAGTCAGAACTAAAAGGAGAATCCGCGGACGCTGAGTGCCCAAAGAATTTCTCAACGGAATAATATTGTACTTTAGACTTTTTTCAGTGAAACTAGAATTGTCGCCAATTTTGGCCCCACCCTTTACAGGGGTTTAATAATTATCCGTTTTATCCTGAAGGATGTATTCGTTTACAGCATAGGACAATTTTCTACAATCTTCGGGAAAAAATTCTGATCATTATTAAACCCCGGAAAAGGGCGTGGCTTATTGTGAGTTATTTTTAGTGACCCAAAATTAACTCTTAATTACCGGCTAACTCTTACAGCCGTATAAAATCAATACAAAACTCGGATGATGTACGAATTTTAAAGAGAAAATTCAACTAAGTTTGGTTTTTCGAAGTTCATTTCTTCATCTCCGACGAATTTTAATGTTCTGATCTTAAATCATCAGAAGATTGTCAATGTTAATCCTCTTGTCCTATCAAGGTCTTTGATAAAGGTTACCCTTAATTTTACACATGGCCTCTATGTGACGCAAGTTTAATTTCAGTTTACGTTCGTCCGTAAACCGCATTGCCATTGTATTTGTAATGAGGTCTGACTGTATTTCAAGAATCAAAGTATGCATCAACCGTCAGACGATCGCTGCCCGGTCAATTCAAAACATTATATGTCAGTCGCTCGCCACAACTAACACAGAGCTTAGATAAAAAAATATTTGTCCATGGTAATAACTTTCGCGATCATCGGTCATAAAGCCGCTTTGATATTTGATGAGAAAGGTTGTGGCGGGTTTGTGTCAATCTGCTCTTGATTGTTGTAAAGGACAACCTCTATCTTCCACTAAATCCTTCAACTCGTCTGAGACGTTTATTTTGGGTAGCAGGTACCGCAGTTAAAACAAAGTTGTTGTGAAGGACACCCTCCATCTTCCACTAAATCGTTCAACTCGTCTGAGACGTTTATCTCGGGTAGCAGGTTCCGTAGTTAAAACAAAGTTGTTGTGAACGCTCTCCAGTGCAACTTCCCGCAACTAGCTAACTCTTTCTAAATCCCGCGGAGTTGCATTCTTCAAGATGTTATAAATACTCGACCTGAAATAACCGGCAGTCAGATATATGCATCGTAACGGCAAACTGTGACTTGCGACAACTGGTGAAGTTGTAAGTTGTTGACCTGTCACTTCATGAACGTCAAATTTTATTCCAATCCCATCCGCCAATATGGCAGTTCTAGCGAATGCATTGTGCAATCGATCTCAAATCGAGAATAAATTGAGTACCTATAGGTCAATTTAAGAGGACAAACAGCTGACTAACGTATCATTGATTAGATTCTATAAGGTCAAATCTATTATTCATTACATCCTGTTACGCAAGAGTCAACTCAGACCACCCATTTGTTTCTAGCAATTCGGCCCTACAATTGTATTTAACCGACACAGCAATCTCCGCTATACAGTTAACACGTTCTGCACAGGTCTGTGTCTGGTAACATAGTTTAGATTTAACGACGACGAACTCCAAACAGTACGACACGTTTGCCTCCAGAACGGCTTCCCTCCTCACCGCATCACCACCATCATGGACGAAGTACAACGGAAATTCACCAACCCCTCTCGCCACCAATCCCTAGCCTCATTCAACCGACAGACCCGTGAACATGCCCTTAGTGTTTCTCTTCCTTTCCATCCCTCCCTATCCAAACCCATCTCCAAGATACTCGGACAACACGACATCAAAGTCACCCACTCCTCTGCTACCTCCCTCCGCAACCTCCTCACCAAAACGAAGACCACACCCCCCCCCCCCCCCTACTCACCTCACCCCCAACACCATCTACGAAATTTCCTGCTCACAGTGCCCCTCCAAATACGCCGGACAGACCTACAGACCCTTGGTCCACCGCATGAAAGAACACGAACGATGTTACAGACTCAACAACGCCATCGACGAATCCACAGACAGAATCAAATCAGCCCCTGCACATCATGCCCTGACCACCGGCCACACCATCTCCTGGAACAACATCGAAGTCCTCAAATCCCTCACCTCACGCACCCAACTAGACCTCACAGAACACGCAGCTATACAAATACGACAACCAGCTATGAACAGAACAGACCGCGCACCCAAATGTAGTTCCCTCTGGGACCCCATTCTTCCTAAAATTGCCAAATCCTTAAAGTCCAGACCATCTGGCATTTCCTTCTCAACCTCAACAGAAGACTAAATTTTTATTGACATTGTACTGTAATTTTCACTTTCCCACCCACACCTCCCCCACCCTCCATCCCTGACACCACTCAATCACATATAAGCATTGTCCACCACATCACATTCAGCTGACGACGATTAACACATGTTTATTGAAAGCTTCTACAAGTTAAATCATCGTATCTCTTATATGTTTTTAACCCAACTCCACTCAGGTTAGATTTAACCTGTTTAACGCTGCATCTGATCATACTGGCTGCTAACCACTGACCATTATTAGAAAATGAGTGTGCGGAAGTAAACGTTAAATACTACACTCCTAAAACTAATTACAAAAGTTGCGATTCGAACAAATCTAACCTTATAAGAGGGTTCATAAGCCCGAAGACGATAGGATTGATAGCTGAATTGCCCACAAATATCCAATGCACTACTTGATGCATCCTGTCGCTTATAGATAAGCTCACCCCGCTCCAGCCCAGGATACCTGAGGACACACATTGTTAGTGTTAAAAATCTCTCTCGCGAGGACTGGAAACTGCCAGGGACTTGTTACTTTGAAACCCAGATCCTTGACTCAAAGGGCATTGAAAATTCCCTGGCATCTAAACATTGCATAAATAACTCTAAGCGATTTCAAGATATTCATTGGTTTACCTGAAATGTTTCAAAACATCAACCTATGAATAATTTAAGTTTAACCCAATTCCATCCAAAAAACTTCAATATAAAGATGGTGGCTACCTATGATGAGGATAGGCATTACAGAGACTACGGAAGCTGTGACTATAAGGAAGATTGAGATAGTCACACGTAGCATCATCCACATCCGTTTCTGGGACTTGCGGTTTGGGGTTGCTATCATGGCGCTGGCTCTCCTTCCTACCAGCTGCATTGATGGTTTCTCTGAGGAATAAAACATTGTTAGAATAATGTGAGGAGAATAGTATGATTAAGTACTGGGTGGGCCAGCTAAGTTACTACATAAATAACTAATTCTGGTCAGAATTGCACACATGTTTTAGGGGTTACAGATTTGGCTCCAACTTATCTTTTCAGGAAGTTTCGTATACTCTTTTTTATCACTCCCTATTTTTCTCTAATACTCCAACTTTAAGGGAATATAAATATGGGAGTAACTTAAATTTCCAGAAAATTGATCATCTAATTACTACGAAGCATGTATAGAGTGGAAATTTCGGCCTCAGTGATTTTCTTGCGACAGAGCTTCGATATTAAATGTCGAAATAATGGTAATATTATTGAATTGAGGAGGTTGGGATAAGTAGCAGACAAGTTAACCTTTTATTAACTTATGTTATTCTATTCAAAATTACACAAACCCTTCAGGGAATAACGATATAGGAGTAACTTTGATTCCCAGAAAGTCAATCATTTTACTACGAAGTATTATAAAGTGAACATATATTTCTGTGACATTTATGCAACAGAGTTTGAACCTCCCATATTAGATGTCGGAATATTGGTAATATTAGTGAATTTCTGTGGCTGGGATAAGTATAGCAGACATGAATGACAGTTTTTAATAAGGTCAAATGTCATGAGTCGTGACGATGAAGCGTCATTCGGTAATTTGCTCGCCCAAGGAGTTACTTAAGTGCTTTAACGTTTCTCACTCAGGATGAAATTGGAAGATATACAGGATTGATCATATATGTTACTAGCTTTGACGAAAACTCATTAATTTGGCGATAAACTTCTCAGCTTCTCAGCTTTTCAGCTGGTTTAATTTATGATGGTGTTCTGCAAATGAAGGCTTTCCTGATGTTCCGATATTACAATAATACTCTAAACCAGGTAAGACGATAACTAGTATCAAGATTGGTTACGCCCATGTCAACTCTGCTACAGCAAGTCTATAAATACAGTCTTTAACATAACTATTTAGTGTCAAAATCGGGTTACTGGATGATGCTCATACAATCTAATGTATCGCGTAGAGCTCAAGATTTTCGTAAAATATCATTTATAGAACAGTTTTAATATTGTAAATCAGATGATAACATAACAGGCTAAACCAATAACAGCAAAAACATTTAAAGTTGAACCAAAGAATTAAACCTTAAAATCTGCAATAAAAAACCAATAACAGCAAAAACATTTAAAGTTGAACCTTAAAATCTGCAATAAAAACTTGTTACCTTTGCTATTGTTAGAAACTCCATTGGACAGCTCTTTTGAGGCTATGTGATTCTGCATTATAATGGTACTATTTGAAGCCAGCGTAGTACTGAGGGGAGAATACATTAGTTATAATAAATAATATATTGGAAATACGTTAGTTATAGTTAATAACATATTAGTAATGGTAACGCCTAGTTGTAATTTATTGTGTACTGCATTAGCTATTAATGAATGAGATCAAATCGCCTTTATACACACGGGGTGTAACCCTATTTGAAACCATCCGTAGGATGCAATTTTGTTAGTTATTTTACTTGTTTACTACATATGCCTGGCTTTTGACGGCTTTGGAAAGTTTTTACTTTTTTACCAAATTTTGAGTTTATATTTGAAGAAATTTACTGCAAAGGTCTAATAAAACCCGTCTTATCTGGAAAATCTCGTTAGGGAAATTGTTTGGTGGTCACATGACACGACAGTCAAGCAACCACTAGCCAGGGAGTTTATGAGGTTTCGCAAAGTGCACAAAAACCGCGGAATGGCTTATAAAATTAGATTAATTTGATTTGTAGCAGTACAGGGAACCTTCTCGCCAAAACTTTTAGGTGACCTTATACCTGAATTAATACAACACTTTGCTTGAAATTATTTATTGTTTGGACATGTGATCACACAAACAGGGTACATTGGAGAGGTCTCATACATCGGAATAAGGAGTTACTGTGTGGTGCAGGCCACTTCAACTACTAGGAGGAGACCCTTTCAAGTACAAGTAGTAAGTAGTAAAAGTATGTAAGTGAATATTGATCACAACTGTGGTCCAATGTAAGCCCTCTCGAAACCAGCGATTGGAAATGCGATGTGTAAGTATAACACTTTCTCGGGCAAGAGTTAATGTTTGTGACTAAAAGTGTCGATATTTCAGGCAAAAATCAAAAAATAAATATTATATGAAATGAAACCTGAAAATACAGTAGTAGCAGGAAATGATGATGAGAAGAGGTAGGGGGAAAGTAAAAATGAAAAAGTAGAGGAAGTACCATTTGTGAGGCGTCCAATCTGCATCCGGCTGGAAATAAATATTTACCATAAAGATTTTGTAACATAAGCCGATCCTAAGAATAGCTATAACGACTACGATCCAGATCTTAAAAAGTCTCCTTATATTGGCCAATCACATAAAAAATCAGTCACATAAAGGCCAGTAAGATTAAAACATCTTCCAATCATAAATATACTAATTAGATTAGTTAAATAACTAACTAAATATAGAAAATTTACTTACCACGATACCACAGTTGAAGCTCGAGTCTGAGTACCCAAACCTGGACCAGCCGAGGAGAGGTGGGACTGCCGCTACCATGGCAACCATCCAAATCAAGACAAGAAGTGCCTTTACTCTTGATTTGGAGATTATATCCCTGTATCTTCCCTGGAGAAGAACTGATTATTATAGGGTAGGTCTCTGGAGTCTGGAGCTGTCATTTTACATGTTGCATTTGTAATAATTACTCGAAATTGAGTAATCTAAAAACAGTAAAATACCACGCTATCAATATGATATTGATCTCAAACTAATAAATGATAACCAGAGAAAGAGGACCATATCATTTGAAGAAGTAAGGTTCTTACCGAGTGACAGATGAGGATATATCGGTCGACACTGGAGGCAGCCAGGGTCCACATTCTTGCTGTTAAGAGCAGGTTATCGAGAAAAGCACTGAAGTTACACGTTACTATGTACAATGGTGAGTCACTCCCAGCAAAATTGAATATCTGAGAGGTAACGTCGATAAATATCGTGTTTTATTGACTGCTGTGGCTTACTAATACCTTTAAGGGGGCATACACCAAAACAGTGGTTTGTGCCGTCCAACCCAAATGACCTCATAGGCAGTTCAGTGACCCTCTAGCGCACCGTTTCCACACAAAAAAATATTTTGAGAATACCCATTACCCATTTTTGTAATCGAGCATTTCCTGGTTAGAGTGGCATTTTCGGAAAAACACAATTGGTTTCATGGAGAGGCTATAAGTTAATCATTTCTTGAAAACAATTTCATTCAGAAAACAATTTCATGTCAAGCATCAAAACAATCCGATCTTCCCTGACTGACTTTTTGGTAAAAATAAGCCTGAAAAGGACAATTTCAGCTTTTTGACTTTAAAAATTCATAAAAACGCAGCCTTTTTAGATACGATATCAAGATTTTACACACACCTTGAAATAGATGTGAATAGACGACGAGCAAATTTTCAACCCGATGCCGCAAGAAATGAGTTGGACAGGTTTGGTGTATGCCCCCTTAATACTAATAGTAATACATAAATATATTAATTAGGTTGTTTAAAGACTAGTGTCTAAATTTTGGGTAATTTTGAGTAATTTTGGCATGTACATATTTTTGTAATTTCTAACATCAAGTGAATTGGAAGTGGAACACATTTTAGCTTTTTAAAAACTGTAATTTCTTGTCTGGTCCTTTTGGGTTGCATCGCTTATTATCTGACCAAATTGGGGCATATTTTGTGTAATAACGAATTTTGTGTAATAACGAATCGTGGCAGTTACGAAAGAGCTGACAGCAGAATCAGGTTGCTGTTTAGCTAACTTAAACCTCATTACAACTTATCTGCTTATTTATTCATAAAATCAAGAATCGAACTTTCAAATTTAGACAGGAGTCTTGAAACACCTCGTACATATACAATATATGTATGACTATATATTGGGGAACTCACTTTGATTATTTCAACTGTGAAGATTTTGAGATGCGAAAATGTTGACCGTCTAAACATTGAACTGTTTCAGTCAAATAATCACGGTAAACAAAGTATAATTTGGTTTATTTTACAGGAAACCTTTCTATGTCCATTAAAGTTCACATTAAAACAATTTAACTTTTTGCTGATAAGGTATCCGATACTCATTTTGTCATTTTGGAGTTTGTACTAGTAGGCATCGGGTTAAATTCAGTGAACAATTATGATGACAAAAAATATAAAAGTAAACCTACCCAATCTTGATGCATCATGGAGGAAAAGGTGACTGACATAGTCCAGGCGCCCACACAGAGGTCGGCGAAGGCAAGGTTCCGAACGAACTTGTTGCTCCGATTGTTGAGCGATCTGTCCCGAAACAGTGCAGTCAGTATCAGTGTATTACCTGCAGTGAGTGGGGTGGATTAACAAGCAGCAAGCTGGTCAATTTCGGTCAATATTGCAAGTAAATCGTACGTTAAGTTCCCATATTATCAAATATCTATTTTAATGACTATATTGCATCTAGAGACCTTATCTACTTGACATGATGTAATCATTGATATACCTTATCGGACATTATTAACAACAATCGAAGTAATAGTAATAAAGTAATAGTAAGCAATGAGTTGTAACTTATAGGTTGTATTTAGTCACCTGAAACCGAGAGAATGCAGAATATGCACATCAATGCTGCTAGAAGCTTCGTCCACCAGTCAAGTCCCACCATCACTACGATTCTTATCTAGTGATAAAAGTCTTGTGATTAAATTGATAATCAGATAACAAATAGGTATTTCTAGACTGTTTAGTGTTTACTGATACATCAAAATAAAATGTTTATTCGATTTTTTAAAACATCGAAGGCCAATGGGAACAATTTATATTTCAAATAGCTTCAGAAAATATGGACCCCCAGGTGGTTTCAAAATCACAAATTAACAGTGTCTAATGTCGCAATGTCTCTTGACACCACTTTAGATAATCACGGGTTCTTGCTAGTAAGTATAATAACGCGTTGAACGGTTTAAGGAAATTGAATTGAGAGTCATAATGCTACCATGAGACTGAGTCTGAGTGACGCACGCGGAATATTTCCTTTTGTGACACCCTACTGTTATAATAAATCCGCGAGACATAAAATTCGCGGAGACAAAGCAAACATGTTGAACAGTAACCCCTGATTTATTGTGGAGTTAGTGTTACGGGTAAAGGAACTGACCGGACATCCGGCTGAATCCGGATACAGCCGACTAATTGAGGAATCACATTTGTTCCGGTAACCAGTGTCCGGTTGCAGCCCGGTTTGTATCAAAAAATGAAGAATTACTAAAATGTGGCATTTCTTGTTTAAAATCCATTTTTCTTCGTTTGAAAAAAAAGGTATCAAGCGGCCAAAAAGAGTATCATTACGGCCGAAAATTGTATCAAATGGACAGAATTGAAACTGGTATCGGCCTCCCGGTGCTTCTTACGAGGTATTCTCGAAAAATCTCGATCGGTTATGACCTTATGTTCATTAACTGTACTAGCTTGATCATCATCACACAGAAAACACGCCTGTCTGCAGACTTTCAAATTTAATATTTTGAGATTATTAAGATTATCGAAATATCCAGCTATTCAGTCTTCAATTTATAAATTCATGTCATTTAGTAATGAATTTTTTTTTTGAGAATGCATTGAAGATTTGTTTACTAAAAATCGAATCCGATGCAACCTGGTGTTAAGAAAAAGTTATGAAAAGTACTAGTTCCGGTCCGGTGATCACGTTACAAAATTGAATTCTGGTCCGGATCCGGTACGGCCAGAAAAGCTAATTCCGAAACATGGAAACCAAAAACAGGCAGTTTCAAATTGTTTTTTCTTTAATTTCAGGAGCAAATCAATTTGACAGTGATCTATAATTATCACAACATAAAATAAAAATGTATACGAAAAAAATACGAAAAAAAATACTAATAAAATTGAAACCGAATACCAAATAATTTTGCGATGCGGTGGTATGACCACAATGACATGAAGCCCTCATTTGAGGGAAGGAAATACAACAACAACAAAAATGGCTGATTTATAATGGCCTACTAATAATGGATTTATAGTACTAGTACTACTGTTCCGTAATATCGCGACCTTGAATAAATGGTCGCCCTATTCATCCATCACGGAGTTCACGTCTCAGACGTGATTCGTGGGTAAACGGCCACCAAGAAAGGTCTGGGTATAACAGTCTTCAACAGCATTGGAGCGAATGGATGATATATCGTCCACATATTAAAGTATTCAGTGAGCATAATATTAGGGGCCATCCCGCCCTCTCTGTGGGCCACTTTATAATTACTTATACTCTTATAGCAGGAACCCGTTACCCGTCTAACCCTAAAAGTAAACTTAAAGTGGTGTCAACACTCAAGAGAGCACTAACATTTTTATTCCTTGGCCAATATTTTATTTTTTCATACTGATTTGAAGGCCATTTAAAGCATTTGAACCATTCAAAAACGTTTAATGTTTTATATCTTTTACGGCTTTTGCGGAAAGTCGTGTTAAAGTTGATGCCGTGGTGTCAGTAAAATGGTACGGGTATATAAATTAACATACACAATTATATTTATACATATATATATCGTTTCGCTTTATATATACTAACAGGAACCCAATCTGCCAAGACTCAGGAGACTAAAATAATTATTACGTACCTATTTAATTCGCGTTTTTGACACCACTTGGGGGTCCAATTTTGGGCTCTAAAATCACTATTCCTTGGCCAATTTTTTATTTTTTCATACTGATTTGAAGGCCATTAAAGCATTTGACCCAGTCAAAAAAGTTTCAGTTGTATATCTTTTACGGTTTTTGCAGAAATTCGCGTTAAAGTTGATGCCGTGGTGTCAGTAAAATGGCACGGATAAATAAATATATATATATATATATATATATATCGTCTCGCTTTATATATAGTAAGATAGTAATATAGGTAAATAGTGCGTAGGAATTACACTAGCGTAATTTTTTTTTCAAACTACCGCAATATGTAATATATACATGTGAAAGTGAATGATAATTTATCTTTTTCGCAGCTCGAACTGCAGTTTCTTAAAAACATATAAATTATACATTAAGTTCTATTAGCAGTAGCTTTTAAAATACAATATGTGTATATCGTCTTGGACTTCAGCTGAACTCATGGTCACACCACGCATGAATTCTCATCCATGTTCATTGCTCCTAGCACTATAGTCGATCTGATATTTGACCACAAGTGACTCCACAAGCCAGGACCCCACGAATCACGTTGATGTAATTGTAAAGCGACTATGTAGTCAAAACTGATATACATCCGGTTAATAGCCGGTCAATAGCCGTAACGAAACACAAATAAGCGTCGGATGTTATTAGCTGTTAGATATATGCTGGGATATATTATATACAAAGCTACGAGCAAAGATTTCATCACTACGATAATTTCGGTACCACACCGACAAGCAAATTGCATGTGATCAAATTAACCAGTGTTTATTTTCTGCGTATGACGTATAATTCCGGTAATAACCTTCGAACAATTCATACAATAATTGAAGCTTGACATAATACCCGTTATCCTTTTATTCCACCACGTGTGGTGATTATGGTGATAAATGAGAATTGTGATGAATCAAGCAGGGCGCTTACTTGCTAAGCTAAGTTCGAGATGAACCTGGAGCAGACGAAGCTGGAGCAGATGAAGCTGGATCGAGCATCTTTGATGCAATTTGCAGTCATTGTCAAGCTCTTAAGAGTGTGTAGAGATTTCCTCGAAGGGCGTATTTTTTGAGATGGTGTCATAATCAAAGAATCAATCTGTCATATAGGTTTGATTTGCTATGATACCATGTGCTATGAGGATGACACCTTGTGTCAGGAACCTATAAATGCCACATTATACA